GAGTTGCGGGCGAAAGCTAGTTTTAGATAAATTTAAACTAGATTACACATATTCATTTAAAAAGATCATAAAATCTGAATTCGGGTGATGAAAATACTCAAAAGCATCGATAAAAAGATTTAAAACAGAAGACAAAAGCTATTGGGATTTGAACTCGGGTTTTTTTTTAATTTAGTATTTCAACTCTCGAATCCACTGATAAGAAGACAAATCACACCTATTCTTTTAAATCGGTTCAGTCGTTTAGGCTCTAAGCCGTCACATACGCGCGAAAAACATTACCCTTTTGTCAGTAGGGTAAATTACAGGAGCTTCAGTATACGTTGCATTTTTTTAAATCATGAAGTCAATATACTAACCTGGATTCATCTTACAATACCATTTGTCTGGCAGTTCATAGCGGTCAATAACGTGGGGTAGGTAGCGCCAGCGGGCGCAGGCGTCGCACGCCGCCCACAGGCCCGCCGCGCGCCGCCGCTGCAGCCACACCAGCCGCTCCCTGTGCGACAGCCCCGCCGGCTGGCTCAGACCTACCTTGTACACGCTGACCACAAATTTATTATACAATAAAACAAACAATTTATTAAACATTTTAATTTTTCATAGCTTTTGTCCGCGATTAGATTAAGTTTGTCCATTGCCCAAGCTATATGAGAAATTATAAAGAGCATGAACACCCTTTTACTTCATTTTACTATACCTGCTTTGCGAGCTTTGAGTATCGCCTATCCTCGAATTACTGGAAAACGTTATTTGACGTTGAGATTTATCTTGCGAAAGATTATTCGCCGTTCCATCGTTGACTGACTGAAATCAGCAAAAAATGAGAAATCCATACAAATGCTTGCTGATATCATATCAGCTATTGCTATTGAAAATTCGTTAATAGAATTTACAGTCATAGTAATTTCGTGTTTTTAAAAGCTGTTGTAACTTTATCATTTACGTTCTAGTATAAATTTCAAGTATGGACCTTTGATGATGATCGAAAATAATATACAATGAAAAAATAGGTAAAAGGCGACCTTTACAAATAATCACAAGTATTAATCGGAAATAACATTAAAACTGTTTTACCGAAGGTTGACTTGCTTCTTCTGTAGGTATTACAGCAGTTTCAATAGGTATAATTGCTGTTTTAGACATTTTATCAGTAAAATTATATACTACAGAAATACAAATTTTCTCTTTTCCCTGCTTCCCGCCAATTCAACTTATGTATTATTGATTGCTATTGCTACTGTGATCTATGGTCAGTAGTGTTGGGCATTATCTAGTTATTTCTAAATACAGTTACGAAACGAATAACATGTTACATATAAATATAATAATTTTGAAACAAAAACTTTTCACAATAGCTTTAATGGGATTGTAACGTGAATTAAAACTTCATAGAGATTATACACGAAAACATACGCATTTCTTATAGTTAAAGATGGCAAAGTGGTAAGCGAAAACATCGTACCGACCACCCAAACATCGAGTGACCTCTGCTGATATGCCCATACCCATGGGCATTAAAATACCAATCTGTATTTTCAATTTTGAAATAATAGAAAATGGCGAGGACAGGAAGAGCATTGAGACATACAAAAGAATACCCGCCCAGCACACCTGAAACCCAAAGAACATCTTTTTTTGGTGGTTTACATGGTATACTTTTTGCGTAAATAGGCAAAAAAATCTTTTATTTACATTTTTAAAACAGGACAACAAAAACTTGAACCTTTGAAGTTTAAGTGGGAGTTGGAATGTTGGAACGATGTTATGTTTATGGTCGGAATAGGAAGTGCGCAATTTATTTTATCTGGCTGGTTGCCGGCTGGGCCTACAGGTCGCCATTTTAGTGGCGGACAAGGAAATTTTGTTTTTCTTTCCTGCGATCGTCGTAATCGACGAAAGGGAGTAGATTATACTCCCTTTTTTGTGTTGAAAGCATTTAAACCGCGTATTTACCGCTAGGTAAATTGAATACTGTGGAAAAGTTGTTTTTCTCTTTGTTTTGTATTAAAAACATGGCTTTCTAAAATGTCGGCCCTGAACGTAAAATTGTCGTCTCCTTGCGGAGTATCCCGCACACCTTTTGTCGTGGATGTTGGAGGAGTCCAGAATGGACAAAAAATCATTAAACAGATTGTCTCTACCTCAGTCGAGGGCTTCGGCCGTCGATTGTAAAAAAAGCACTGGTGAGTACTTGAAGGACATTCATCATCATGATCATGTTGTTATTTTTCACTTCATCCTTTAAACTAGGATTGTATATCTCGAAACACTGCATTTATATTTGCATTAATTATATGTAGAATTGACACATAAACCTTGGCCAGGGAGTAAAAAACGTGACGGATCCGGTGCTGCTTCAAAAAATGAACCTTTTCGACGAAATCAACCACAAAGAGGTCGGGGTCAAATTGACAAGCGTTCCCGTGTTCGTGGAGCTAATTCTATTGTGGGTGGAACGCAGAACTCCGGGTAAAAAGCCTTTTATAAGTTATGTTTTTTGATATTACTTTTTTTGGTATGTATTTCATGTTATCATATTTTTTGCATTTACAGGATAGAGGAAGATGATGAGCCTGAATTAGGTTCAGTATATCTGCCTGGAAGCAAAAAGCAAAACTTGAATCATTTGCTCAACTTCATGTATCCTTCAAGGGGTGGTGCTGACCGCAGAGGTCCTGCGCCTCGGCGTCCTGTACAAAACTTGGCTTACAAACATCAACACGATCTTTATCTCCGTGCTAAGTAAGATTCATGCTTCAAATGTAAAACTTTATATAGATAGTTGGATTAAATTGGACCCAATAAACTTGAAAAATTGATTGTCTAATATGTAAGATAGATAAAGTTTCTTGTAAATAAAGAGTATGATTTTAGTGGCTGGAATTTGAACTTTACAGTTGTAAAGTTGGTTAATACTTATCTCTATATCTCAATAAATCAATTATTGATTAAGACATGATATGACACTATTTTTATATATATTCTTAATAAGTAATGAAGTATATAGGTGCCACTGGGATATTGTTTTTACAAAACAAAAAGGTTAAAGAGGAATTGGCAATTAATTATTGTAAATTAAACAAAATCATACATTTAATACACAATATTATTTTAGATAACCTGATATGAACCATATCAACATTCCTTTGAATGCAATTCTAATAAGATTTCTTTAAGAAAATATATTTAAAGGTTTTACTTGTTTTAGTTGCCAGTTTGTAGTAAAAAATGGTGAGGACTTCGAAATGAATCTAATGGATCCAGATACTCCTATCAAATGGGAACAGGTTGAGCAGATAGTAAGTATTTATTTGTAAAAAGTAAATTGAAACCAAGTAAACAAAGTTAAAATTAAGATTTTATTAACCATTTCCATTTAGGTCCTGGGAGCCTTGCAGTTTCTTTTGAATCTGACCACCATGGAAAAACCTTACAATACCATGTCTTATTGCCAAAAAGCAGGGTATTGAACAAACTATAGCTGTAGTATTCTACCATTAGTGTATCTGTTACACTGATGAATTGTTTTAAGGCTTTTTGTTCTTCCAGACTATTTTCAAAGTCTACACCACATTTAACCAAAATCTGTTCAGCTGTTTAGGCTACAAACTAACAAACATCTATCCATTAATTTTAACTTTTGCATATATAATCTATATCTATACTAATATTGAAAAATGAAAGATTTGTATTTTTGTTTATATTGAAATAACTCAAAAATTAACAGAAAGATTTCAAAAATTCTTGCACAATTAAAAAGTTATCTTATCACTGAGTAACAATGTTTTAATTATTTTTTAATTCCACGCGAGTAAAGGCGCGAGCAACAGTAATGTTAGTATAGAAGTATAAATATATATTTGTAATGTGTATAGATAGTGCGCAGTACCGGGCGTTCAGAATGCCCGATCTGCCTGGGCAGGCCGGTGGCGGGGCGCGTGGGGCACTGCGGCCACGTGCACTGCTGGGCCTGCGTGCTGCACTACGCGGCCGCGCACGAGCGCCGCCCGCCGCCCTGCCCCGTCTGCGCCGCGCCGCTCCACGTCGCAGACACCAAGTCTGCCCACATCATACAATGGGCACCACCCGCTGATGAGGTTTGTTGTACACAACTTATTAGCAGGTTTCCACTGATAAGAAAGTAGTATATTATTATTTCAAGTTTTAATTGTGTAATTTCAAATCAAAACATAACAACATAGTTTTTGACTGTCATTCTTTCTTTGCTGAGTTTAACCTTTAAATGCATGTTTTTCTTTTTAAATACCATAAATTGAAACTGGGAGTAAATTTAACATAGATTAAAGTAAAAATAAAGATTAAACACGCTTTTTGAAAATAGGCTATTCGGTAACGAAGAAAAGACGATGTATAAATGCATTATCATGCAAGTTTAAAATAATGTTGGTGACCTGTGTTCTTCTGGACTATATTTGTGCCAAATGTTAGTAAGATATAAAATTTTTAATGGTTATATTAAATGCAAACAAACATCATTTTAGAATATTTTTGTTAACAGGTAACAATGCGTCTTGTCCGTCGCTTAAGAGGTACAACGACGGTTGAGGTAGCACCCCCTCGCGGACAGATATCTGCAGACTTGTCCACACCGATACTGCCTCTTGAGCAACTTGCCAATGCCCCGTTCACCAAATACTTCACCGCTACTAAAGATCAGGTATGGTTGTTAGTTAGCTAATGCAATTTATCACTTATACAAAAACTGTGGTAGAGCCCGCTTTAACAGCTTTGCACGAAAGTGTCGGCTCACCCGGTGTAATACTACGACCACACAAAAGACGCTGGAGGAGACACATAGGAATGGGAAATATCCTGTTTATGTGCGTCTCCTTCATCGATTAAGGGTAGGCACCTATTGCGAATGACTATGGGCAGCGATCGCTTCGCCATTTCAGCGGATTCAGGTGGACGCTTGCTCGCTTGCCACCTTATGATATAAAAAAAATCACAATTTGGTGGGACAAGTCCTTAGTTAGATTAGTGAAGATAACAAAAATATCTTTTATTTCCAGGTGTTTGAAATTTTAGCTAAAGAACGTGAAGAGATAGAAAACCAAATTTTACAAGAAATTGATACAACAGAAATCCTTTACTTGGAGCAAGCATTACATCTGCTTAACAAAAAAGAGGAAGAAATTAAAAACCAAATTGAGAAACATAAAACACCAGAACCTATTGAGGATGTTCCTCCTATTGTTTATGAAAAGCAGGACGTTAATGATAAGAAACTAGATTGGTTTGATGTAACAGAAGATGGTGCTGCTTGCATCGAACTCATTGAAGAGAATATGGAGGTTTTAGATATTAATGTTCCCGAACCTAATCTAACTTCAGAAGTGATGACGTATTTAGAAGATGAATTGAATGATAATAATCATGCTGAGGAATTTCCTCTCATGGATTGTGGTCCACCTCGAGAAAATCAAGTAGATATTACAGAGATTGACAAAGAAAACCAGTCAAAGTACTTCTATTTCTATCAAGGTAATACACTAGGTTTTCTCCGCGATTTCTGCAGAACCGTAGCCCCTACTATTGCTACTACTACTACATGTGTTGGAATAACTCAAAAACTTCTGAGACGGTTTCAAAAATACTTTCAACATTAAAAATCTATGATATCAATAAGTATTTTTATGTATTAATGAATATTTTCAGCTGACGATGGACAACAGATATTCCTAAATAGCATCAATATTCGTATTTTGAATGCCTCGTGGGGAGGGCTGGTCGCTGCACCCCCGGTTATAAAGGGTCGGGTGCTGCACCGAGAAACATTGTCACTTGCAGATCAGGTAATCTAAATTTGATTATATTTACAAAGATTAATTTTATTTTCATTACTCTGTACCTGTGCAGCTTCATCCATGTGAAATTATTTGTAAAATTGTCAATTGCAAATTACAACAAAGGCCATTTGAAAACAATTACAGTTACCATGGATATTTTGCTTTTTTGCTGCTTTTGGCTTGTAGTTTTTCTTTCTTACCACATGATAATTTGTTTCAATTTATATAATTTACATAGCGTAAAAATATATAGCCTATAGACTCGACTGTATAAGGCTCATTAAAATGGGAGTAATCAAGAATATGAAGAATTGAGTGTTTAAGCTTTATTATTTTAGAAATAGATAAACAAATATTTTATTTATATGTATATTGTTGTTTTTTTCAGACCAGGAAGCATATGCCATACACAGCTCACTTACCAGTTTACTGCTCCTTTGATATTGTGGAGTTGGATTTACAACCGCCATTCGTCACTACAGAAGCTTTGAGAAATTTTGCAGGTTTGTTACTAAGATTAGTACATTTCACCCCACTGACAGAGGCCAATGTTTTTTGAATATCAGGAATACTGAAAAAGTGAATTCAAATCTCACTCTTTATTTTTTCATTTCTTAATCTTAG